ATAAAAACTGTAGACCAGGCTGCTTCAAACTTAGTATGTAGCCAGGTAGCCAGGTGCGGTGGCACAGGCTTTTAATCCTAGCACTGAGGAGATAGAAGAGGGAGGTGGATCTCTGTAAATGTGAGGCCAGCCTGGTTTACATACCAAGTTCTAGGCCAACCATGGCTACACAGTGAATGCCTGTCTCAATCAAACCCAAACAAACGAAAACAAAACAAAACTTACAATGTAGTTGAGGAAGACCTTAGACTTACAGTTCTCCTGTCTCAGCCTCTCAGGTGCTGAGACTTTGGGCATGTACCACCAAGCTTGGTTTTTTGTTTATTTATTTTGATTTTGATTTGGTTTTGTTGTTTTTAATGTGACGCTGAGGTGGGGACTGAACTCAGAGCTTTGTACATGCAAGTCAAGCCTTCTACCAACTGATCTATAACGCAGCCCTGTAGTCTTTAATTTTAAAATTTGTCAGTTCTTTCTCTTAGAAAAGAAACTGCAACTTTCAATCAGAGTTACTTTTTTTGCAGGACACCAACCAGTATGCTTGTTAGAGTTTCTCCTTCCTAAATCTCTTCTGCCTACTCCCTTTACAGTAGGACTAAAATGATGGTGTAGATATATCCTGAGAAAAGGCTTTGAGGTTCTAGTTTTCAGTCTGTGTATTCTGTATGGAATGTCCCTGTCAGTGTAGCCCATGTCTGAATACATCCAGTGTACTGTGAGAAATAACTGAGTAAGTGTCATTAAAGTGGCTTTTATCACATTGGCGATAACAAATCAATGCAGTATTCTTTCATGAACTGCACATGACTCTTGACAGGGTTATGTGCGTATGATGTCATAGCCCACCACACTGGATGGCAAAATCCAGGCTGACTGACCTCTTCCTACACATGTGCAAAATAACCAGCAAAGGGCAGTTTGTTTCTTGCAAATGTTCATCACATTCTAGCAGTACACATGGCAAGCCTTTGTAACCAGGTATCTGTTTATGCTTTTTTAACTTTTACAAAAACTTTATTGAGACTTTCATACACGCATATAAGGTGCTTTGATTAAATCCATACCCACTCCCTCCCTTCCAACACCTCCCATATCTCCCCATCACTTTTTTCTTTTCCTTTTTTCATTTATTTATTTTTATGGGGCTTTTGGCTACTCTAACATTCCCCCCTCTGAAGAGGTAACCCTAAAATCTTCTAAGGATTAGATACAAGCTCCCAAATACTTGTGACATTTTTGGCATTTAGAACAGAGTATATTGCTAACAGTCCCAAGGATATTTTGACTTTTAACCAAGAAACTGGTTACTTTTCTTTGGGGTCTTTTTACTCTAACTGCCTAGCCAATTCCTACCTCCTATTCTTATCACGCCATCCTCTGAAGGGGTTATCCAAATTTATGCTTTAAGTCTTAAGAAAATAGAGATTTTTTCTTCACCTTGCGGAAAGCATTTCTGGACTCCTTGTAGTTTCGGCTGAGGCTGCTTACAAGATCCATTATGAACCTCCAGGACATTAAATTTTGAAGATCTCTGTATAAAAAAACCCACCACCCAGCAACAGAAAAGATGAGGCTGCAAAGCTTCTAAAGAACAATATGAAATGTAAACTTTGAGGGCACGGGCACTCTGACATACCTACCTGGCAGAATATTTGGTAAGAATAGGCTTAAGTTTGGTTAAATATTCTGGAGCATAAACAACCACATCTTCCTCATTTTGTATATTAATATTCACAGTTGACATGATTTCGTTTGTGAAATTTGACCAGCTGAATGGCTGGGGAAAAAAAGCAGGCACAGAGCATTCAGTAATTATGGCTCTCTCTTCTGGGTTCCAAGATTCAATTATGATTAGAAGGCCACACATTAGAGGGCATCAGCTGCATCACTAAATGATTAGTATAATGGCCAGTTTGTTTTTGTTTGGGATGTTTTGTCAATTGTTTCAATAAGCTTTTGAATAAATATTAGTTCTGCAACATGATTATTTAGATGGCAGAATTAAACCAATCATTTAAGAGCAAAACCGAAGCCTTTAAGTATACAGAGCATATAATTAGAAATCAGGCTCATTGCTCTTTTCTGCAAGCAGTAGTTTTAAACAGAAGAAAAGAGTTTTTAAAATGAAGTTTCTTTGGTTTATGAACAATGCAAGTGTATATCAATTGTCTTTTAACAGATATTAATAAACAACTCATTCAAATACTGCAGTGCACCTGAGTGGAGATGCTGCTGGGAATGGAAGAACATTGTTACCACAGAGATGCTATGAAGCCAGACAAAGGAACACAGTTTCAAGTATTCATTTTAGATCCATAGATAGGCATGCAAGTTTGCTACTTCAGTAACTAAGTAGAGAGTTGATAAAAGATGGAATCTCATCTATTAGTCCTTAAGTGAACACTAAGATTTAAGACCATCAATATCTTAGACTCTCATCTATATACATAGAGATCACTTACTCTGTAGTGGATGCTCTGTCGAAATACTTGATTTACTTTGGTGGTTTGGACTAGACTTTTTAGAACACATTTATTAAACATATTATGTTAAAAAGTTATGCAATGAATGTCTAACTCAATTTTAAAAGGCTTGATTTACTAGAATCTTCTTACTATTACAGAATTAGTCCAAAGAGAATTCTGGCTATGGGAGTATGGACATTTTTCTATGGATATGTCTTCATTTCCCAGCCACCTGTATCAACTAATACATGAGAAACAAAAGTATGGCCCCCAAAGGAGATTGTTAGAAGCTAGCTAAGCAAAATAAAGCAATTCTTGTTAGTCAGTAGAATCTGAGATGGAATTTCTTCTTATTTCTACATTGTTTGTAAAGTTTTGTTCTAAACACCTCCATAGATGGCCTGGATGAGAATATGGAAAGTTCTCTGAATAAGTTATGCTCTTTTAGGAATTGACTGTCTTCTTGTTTGACAGCCTACATTTAATGACAATGTAATGGGCTCTCAGCAAGATCTACACCTTTTCCAGTCCTTTTCTGCAGTAGTATTTAAAAATGTTGCACACTTGTTTTGAAAGGAATTTTACTTTTGAAACTCATCCTACTTAAATATACATGCAGCAATTTCAAATAGCTCCTCCTACCTCAGGTCTTGTCATGAAATCAAGGGAGTGTCAAAATTCATTGTGAAGTTCAATTTCTTTCCATAAATAAGTTTTAATGGCATGATTTCAGAAAATGGTACAGTGAGAGGGTACATTAACTGTGCTGCTTACCTTCCCATTGATCTCTAGTGAAAAGTTATTTTGGAGTTGGGTCAGTGTCATTTTGTTGTAAAGAAGCATTGGATCGTTTCGATCTTCAGGTTTAGTTGTAGCCTATGGATGTAATGTTGGAACATTGCTTTAGAAGAACTCTTCAGAAAAATATAACCACATATAAAGAGAAAAGGAAGTGTAGGATAGATACAAATAATGTGATTTAGGTTCAAAATTTAACATTTTATGTACATCCAGTAATAGTGATCAATATTTAATTGAAATATCAAGTTTGAAACTCTTCAAGGAACAATATATTCTAAAATGAAATGAAGATCTTTTTTAAGGGTTAAAAACTCATTCAATTTTATGTCTTATAGGGCGCATACTGAGTTCAATATTGTATAACTGTATTAGTTCAACTGTGAACCTAGAAACTTGCACCCACTTGTGAAAGAGATGTACTCTTGTTCTGGAGTGTGTTACTGAATATGTTAAAGCTGTAGCAAAATGCTTCTTCTAATCATGTAGTTGTTAAAAATTTTTTAAAAATGATAAAAAATAATAATTCTTTAAAAAATTTACAGCCAATTTTGAAAGAGATGCATCTTAGCTCTGGAAATCGTTATTGAATATTTCAATGCTATTGTAATGAAACACTTCTTCTAAGTATGTGGTTATTAAATAAATAATTTTTAAAAATGTGGGTGCAAAAAAAAAATCTTTACATTTTGATACCAAACCATTTAGGTAATATTTGTGGGCATTGGCTAATGGTCAGTTCAGTTGGGCCTGCAGGTGTTTAACAGTATAACTTTTTTGGAATAGAGTCATTTCCAATTTATCTCTCAAATACTGGTTCCCACCCTCACTTTATAATTTGGTATTATAGTAAAAATTAAGCTGTGAAAAAAAAGTGCAGAAGTTTCTACAACAATTTATGGCAAGTACCACAGCAAGTTCCTAGTATATGGTGGGCAGATGGCAGGTTATCCAAGAGGCATGACCACACTTTCCATTTCTGAATGGCTGACCTTCCGTCCTCACTGACTCATTTTGTGCTGTACACTCAATAACATTTGATTTTATTCTGTTCACTAGGTGTAAAAGAGAAAAAAATATGATAGTAACTCCCCTGTTAGTGCTTAGGATGAATAAAAACAAATGTCACTGAGAAGAGACAAAAGAGAAATTTTAAAATGGGAATTGTGTGGCAGTGCCTTCAATGTCTCCTTGGGAAATTTATCTACTTAGTTATGCAGTCAATCATTACTGAACAATTCCTTCATGAAATGCAGATGCACACTGCTAAGAGGCACACAGGTAATCCAGCAATGACTAAGACCCCATGCCAACCTCAGAACCTGACACAGGTTAAATACAATGGCAAATAAGTCCGAGGTAAAACAGAACTACCGCTACTAACCAAGACTGGTCAAAGAGGCACATGGTTTGAGAAAGTTAAGAGTGATAAAATCCCAGGACAGGAAACTGTTCTTTAGCAATTCAGTTTCCCTCTCAGAAACACATGTAATCTATCAAACTGCCATCTACTCAGTTGCCTCTCTAAATAATCTGGCTCTGGTTGGGGGTTGAGAGGGGGGGTTGGCTTCATGTAGACCCAGCAAGGCTAAAATTTCCCTCCGTGAGCTTTACTCTTCAAGATTCTGGTAAGGCTAGATAGCAGTGGTAGGAGGACAGGGATCTGAAGGAACAGGATTTTGCTTATACTGTTAGAGTTCTGTAGGTCCTAGACTGAATCTGAGTCTGGGTTCAAGCAATAGCCTGCATACTACCTAGACCCAGAGTTCATTTACTAGTGACTGTAGGACCCCTCAAAGGACTCAGAGAAGACAGTACCAGATCAGTCACCAAGAGTTTGCCTGGAACCAGAAGAAATGCAGAAATACCGTTGGCTCTGTTTTCCCTCAGCTCAGCAGTCTGAGGGTCTGAACTCAGAGGCATTGCTTTGCCCACTGACCAAGTTCCTAGCAAAAAGGTAGTGATCATCTCTACAGGCACTTTATATTTGAAAATAACAAAGTAAAACTGCAAAGTTTTCCATGAGGCATCTTGCATCACAAAGGCACCTAACAGTTTGATCGTAAGGGGTCAGATTTTGATGTAATACACTTGTGCTAAGTAAGCAATGAAGGACACCTTGTTTACTGTCTGTCAAGCCTAGTGTCTTATGGACGTCAGGAATATAGTTTACTATAACATTCTATAGTTTCAAGCTTCTCTTGAAGTCAGTGATCCATTACTGGCCTCTGCAGTTTTATTACTGGGGTAAAGTCACAGTTTTATCCTTGGAATAGGGTGCAGAGAAGGAAATGAAAAAAAAAGTGGTTGATATTATTCAATATAGAAGAAGATATTTGCTTTACATTGGCAATTTCTTTTTCCAATTCCATAACTTTATTCATTTCCAAAGAGAGCTGGTTTTCATCAATAGGTAATTTTTCTTCCTGACGAATCAACCTGGCCACAGAAATCATAAAATCCACATATGCTGTACAAGCCTGCAGGGAACAAACAGTAAATTATTGGAGAAACTTCTGCATATTCATCAAAACACAAAATATCTTAAATATTAATTTTCAGTAGCAGATAAATCACAATAAAATAGAAGTCTTCTCCTAAGTGCTAAAAGAAATGACCTGTACAGGTTCTTTTAATTAGATTTAGGCAGAATAAGATATCACTTTGAATGTCCTAATTTGTAGCCATTTGTCAATGGAGATTGTTACTGTCAATTTTCAATAAAGTTACTTTGCTGTTATAAAAATACAGTTATAAAACATTTGTTAAGTAATTACATATATTTTTAATCCTTAAAAAATAATAAATTCCTTTACTAAATCTTTTTCCCCCTTGGGTTTAATATATATATATATATATATATGTATAGGGAGTGTGTCTATATGTGTGCATATGTGTGCGTGTGTGTGTGTGTGTGTGTGTGTGTGTGCGTATTTTTTCAACTACTTACAGATAGATAGCCACAAATTCATAGATGATCGGGACAGTTTCTTACATGCATCTTGGGTCAATCATTAATGTTTTATGAGATTGTTCTAAGGAGCACCTCTAACCACACATCTAAGGGTGAAAGATTTTTCCATAATGCTTCCACGAATGTGAGGTTTCACTATACAAATGCCACAGATTTAGATAGCCTCTTTCTTCCAAGAACTTAATTTCTTCATATTTTACCTTCAGATACATTTTCATTTATAAATGTAAGCTATAAACTAGCTGTCTTAACAACCATTTGTGAATAATACAAATTCCTTATTCACATTCAGTAACATTAAGACCAGGGGAATTCAATCCCATTTCTGCTAGGTCTCAACACTTTGCTACTTAGTAGCCATTACTGTCCATCAGCAATTAAAATAAAGTTTGATCTCATCTCATTTAAAATGTACCCCAAATTCAAGTCTTTGACAGAAGCTTTACTATTAGTAAAGCTAGTAACTGTCATCAGGGAAATTATGCCATATGTCTTTGGGATAGATGGAGTTTTTGATGCTTCCAAGTTTTGGTATTCGGATAAAGACAGATGAAGGTTATAATGTGTGCTAAAAAGGGTGTAGCATTTTCAGTTTCAGAAGAGTTTTATATCCCTACTATCAGATTACAAGAGAAAAGGGCACCCTTATATTCATTGTAAACGCAAAGTCACATCTGTAATTGCAGTGGCTCATTATCAAACAGATAAGTAGCAAAATGAAAATGTTATCAAGCAAGAACCCATTCAAAATGTACAATTATTATGAATCTGAAAGATCTTATTGCTATTCTGTGACCCTCACTAAATGCCAAGTAGACAGTTCTCTGGAGAGAGAGGCTCTCTTTTTTCAGGCATAGGCTGTAACATCAGGACCACCTAGCTAGTGCCTCCATCCATACTTCTCAATAGAATAAACTATTTTTTTAGCTTAAAATTTGCATTTGAAAACCCAATCACCAAGGAAGTAGGAACACAAAGATAGCTTCATATAGGTTATTGTCAACTCCAATCTTTTTCTCTTTAAAAGCTAATCAGAATCATTTCCCTTTGAGGTAAACAAATATGTCTGGGTTCATACCTCCTGAGACCTCCTAGTTTTGAATTAACTGTATTTCAGAGCATATAAATTCATCTGCATTCAGCAGGGAATTACTATTGACTCTGAAGGAGACAGTAATTTAAATTTTCTAAATTCATTCTACTAAGATTATTCCTTGCTGCATGAGATGCTTTTTTGCTGATGGAGTGAGAACGCAATAACTGGAATCCTGTGTACTCTGTTGATTCAGCAATCCAGTTCTTCTTCAATGACTTTAGCTTTACAAATGTAACTAAAGACCGTTGAACTTTGGTACATGACAGCACATGGACTTTGAACAATATTTCTGCATTGCTGAGCTGATGATGTTTCTCAGGAAACCAGAAGCACATATCACTAGCTCCTGGAACGCTTCCATCTTTGCATGGAACACACTATATTCCCTAATGAATCCCAGCCTAGTAACCATTTCTGATTAAAACATGTGTCTTAGTATTCTGTCTTTCCTGGCTTCCAAATGTATGAAGTAGTTGTCAGAACCCAAGTTCACTGCTGCGGTTAAATCTCTTTTACAAGACATGATTCTCCTATAAGGCTTTAATTATTTTCCTCATTTCTAAGAATGCAAAATGATTATAAGTATACAGATGTGAGGAAATTGGGTTATGTTTTAAATTGAAATTCAATTTCTCTTTCTTATGATTTAGAGAAATTTTAGTTATCAAGACAGAGAAAGAATCATTTATTTTTTATTTTATTTTATTTTATTTTTTTATTTTTTGTTCTTTTTGAAACAGGGTCTCCCTGTAGCCCCAGCTATCCTGGAACTCACTATGCAGACAAGGCTGGCCTTGAACTCACAGAGATCAGCTTGCCTCTCCCACCCCAGTGCTGGGATTAAAGGTGTGTGCCACCACGGCCGGCCAGTTATCATTTTTAACAGTTGTAAGCTTCTTTGAAAACAATAAATCAAGGATCCTCTTGGTAAAAAACGCACAGAAACATCTATGTAGCCCTTCATTAAAAACACCATTAACAAGCATACCAAGAAAAAAATCAAGGAAAAGAGCCCATTTATGACAGCCCCACAAACCATAACATGTCTTGGAATAAATCTAACCAAGGAAGCAAAGGACTTGTATAATAAACATTGACAAAGGATATTGAAGAAGGTCGCAGACGATGGAAAGATCTCCCATGCTCATGGATCAGTAGGATTAATATTGTGAAAATGGCTATTCTACCAAAAGTAATCCACAAATTCAATGCAATATCCAGTAAAATTCCAACAGAATTCTTCACAGAAATTGAAAAAATAATCTCAAATTTCATTTGGAAACAACAAAAATCCCAAAATAGTCAATATAATGCTGAACAAGAAAAGAATTGCTAGAGGTATTATCATATCTATTGTCAAATTATAGTGCAGAGCCATAGTAATAAAACCAGTGTGATATTGGCATAAAACAGACGCAGTGATCAGTGGAATAGTACTGAGGACCCAGATTTAAGTCCATGCATTTACAACCGCCTGCTTTTTGACAAAGGGGCCAAAAACATACTCTGGAGAAAAGATAGCACATTCAACAAATGGTGCTGGTCAAACTGGTTAGCCCCATGTAGTAGAATGAAACTAGATCCTTATCTCTCACCATGCACAAAACTCAACAGTAGATGGACCAAGAAGGTCAACATAAGACTTGATACCCTGAATTTAAGAGAAGAGAAAGAAAGGGATATGTTGGGATTTATAGGCACAGGAAAGAACTTTCTGAACAAGATTCTTATAGCACAGTCATTAAGTCCAACAACTGAAAAATGGGACCTCATGAAACTAAAAAGCTTCTGTACAGCAAAGGACACCATCATTCGAGTGAGGATGCAGCCTACAGAATGTGAAAACGTCTTTACCAGTTATATGTCTGATGTTAAAACAATAGCCAACCAAATCCAATTTAAAAATGGGGAAAGGAGCTGAACAGGGAGTTCTCAAAAGATAAAACAGAAATAACTATTTTGACACACACTTAAAAACTTGTTCAACATCTTTAGTTGTCAGGGAACGCAAATCAAAACCACTTTGAGATTTTATCTCTCCCCACTTAGAATGGTGAAGACCCAAACAAGGAATCAAGGATCAATGCTGGCAAGGATGTGGAGAAAAGAAAATTTTTATCCACTGCTGGTGGGAGTGCAAACTGGTTCAGCTACTATGGGAATCAGTATTGTGGAGATCCCTCTAAAAGCTAGAAATAGATTTACCATAAAACCTAGCTATACCAGCCTTCTGCAGGCACCCCACAGACTGTCTATCTTGCTACAGAGATACCCGCTCATCCATGTTCATTCAATGCTGCCTTTTTTCACAATAGCCAGGAAATGGAGACAACCTAGATGCCTATCAAATGATGAATGGATAATGCAAGTATGGTACATTTACACAACGGAACATTTACACAATGGAACATTAGTCAGATGTTGAAATAATAAAAATATGAAATTCATGGGTAAATGTATGGAACTGGAAACATTCTGAGTAAAGTAACTCAGATCCAGAAAGACAAGCATTGCGTGTTCCCTCTCATCGCTGGATGCTAGCTTTGAAATCTTAGATATGCATGTTTCATTTGGAAAATTCAGGAGATCAGGAAACTATTAAACAGCCAAGGGGTGACGACTTCATGAGGGTGAGATAGAATACAGTCATATATACAGGGAAGGGGACTAATGGAGTAGGAAGCATTAACTGGGGTTGGAAATGGGAGGTCAGGAGGGCAGAGAAGGGAGAATGGGGAGGGAGAACTAACACTAAAGGCCTTTAGAAAAAGCCATATGGAAACTGACCACTACAGAAACTTCTTAAAAATATATACATATACATTATTAAAAGATTAAAAAGAATTCTCTATATAACATGGGGACAACATAGGTCAGCAAAGTAAAAGTCCAATGCCAGGAAGGACTCCCTCTTTTGAAGTTGTTGACCACCCTCAAACACTATTGGCCATTGCCTCTGCTCTTGGTTATGCCCTAGAACTTGATGGTAAGACCCCATAACTGAAGACACTAAATACATGAGCAGTAAAATAAACAAGGAGAAATCAAGCTGGTACTGACTTCAAAGCTTCATTTCTACTGGCTAGCTTTCATAATGCTGGAGGTTAGATGCATGCTATCAAAGGAGACAAGTAATCGTCAACTTTACCCAGCTGTGAATCTTGAGAAGTCTCCTTATGTTGTAAATGGTGATTAACACAGAAACCCACAACTGGCCAACATGCAGAGAATAAGAGACTGAAGAGGACTTATCTCTGAATTGGCCATCTATATCAAATTTCTGCCTCCCAAGGCTCAGGGACTACTGCAGAAGAGGGGTAGAAAGATTGCAAGGACCATAGGTTGTGGCTGACCACAAGGAAACAGTTTTCTTGACCGCTGGGAAGTTATACATATGAAGTCACAGCAAT